AATTGTTGCTGCTTTACAAGGTTTGGGTTTACCAAATTGTGGATGTTTACCCAAATGATTAGTATAAAGTTTTTCAACAAATGTCTTATCTGTAGCTTTTGGTACGATACATTCTTCTTCAAGAATTGAAAGAATACCCATAGGCTACAATTAAAATTTTATTTACATTTAAAGAGAAAAGAAAATGCTAAAATATTAATATATACCTTTTCGATAAGATCAATACAAGCTTGTAAATCCATACCAAAATCAATAAATGTCCATTGTATGCCTTCTTTTTTATATTCTTCTTGTTCTAATACAAACATATGATGATTGAAGAATTGTTGAAGACGTTCATTTGTATAGTTAATACATAATTGTTCAAAGCCATTGAACTTTAAAAAGATATTTAAATCGTAATTATTATAAGGTTTTTCTTTTTTTTTTATAATTATCATTTTACCTCGAAAATTTCAAAACCAGCAATGTCGAGTACACCAATAAAATATTGTCGTTTAGCTTTGACATCGAGCGTTACGTTAACACGATCGACTAACCAAGTAAATATACGAAAATAGATCTAAGAAACAATAAAAAATATACATTTTTAATTATTTCATTTATTTATTAGATTAATATACCGATTTTGAAAGAGCACCAATAGAGTTAATGACTTGATCTTTATTTTGACCTTTGTTGACATATTCATTACCGACCTATATATTTTATTTATAAAATAAATTATTAATGATTATGGAAATGAAAAAAAAAAAGATAAAAATAAATCTAACCTTAATACGAGGTTTAAGTAAACCTTTAATAAGATCAGCTGCTTCAACACCAAGTAAATGAGCAACTTTTTCGACTTCTTCTGTACCTTCAGTTTCAGCTTGTTCTTCTCGAGGTCGTTGCTTCCATTGAGAATTACCAAAATGCATTATAGATGCAGTACATTTGAATAAATTGATCTTTTCATCCTATAAAATATCAAATAAAAGTATAAAATAGTATAATCAGTACATAAATATGAACCCTTGTAAACCCGAGGATGTCAAAAGCTTCATCAGTAAGTCGCATTTCTTCAGCATCGTCCACACCATCGATGGTAAGCATACCTTGAGCTACGTAGAAGTATTTCGATGGATCATTTCCAATTAAACACATTTCTAGAGAAAAAAAAAAGAAATTTTAATAATGATACANTTTAAACGCATATCATCAATATCTTTTTTTAATGTATCAATATCTTGTTCAAGTTTCTTTTTCTTATTATTTAATTGTTGAGCACTATCTTCTTCTTGACTAAAACGTTCTTCTAATTCTTTGATTGTTTGTTCAAGATCAGCTTTTTCCGTTACTATGAAAAAACACAAAATAATATATTAGAAAAATTTTTCTTGTAAGATATTTCTATATAGTTTGATATATGCAGAAAAATCAGAAAGAAAAAAAGAAAGTTACCTAAACGTGTTAAACGTTCTTCAGATTCTGATGAACCAACTTGTGCAAATTCCAATTGTGAGAGTAAATCATTTTTTTCTTAAAAAACAAAACATTAATATAAAATAAATTACAATAAATGTTGGTATTTTCTTTTTACCTCGAATTAATTTTGAATTTTGATCTTCGACTTCTTTTCTTAATTTTTCTTCTTTTTCTAAAGTTTCTTTAAGTGTTTTAAATTCTTCTTCCATTTTCTTCATTTCTTCTTCTTGACGAGCAACCGATAATAATGGTTTAACTTTTGTATATAATTTCCACCATGGCCAATTACGTAATGATAAGTATTTACGACAATTACGTTGTAATACAGTTAAAGCAATACGTTTTTCTAACATTTTCTTATATTCCTTTTTCATAATATAACCACGTACTTGTCCTTGTAAAGCAGCAACAATCTTTGATAAAGCCGTATCACGCATATCTTCTAATTGACCTAATGTACCTGCTCGAAAGAAAACTTTTGTTGAACCACAACGATATAACTCTTCATTTAATTGACAATCTTTAAGAATATTTTCTGTTGCTTTTTTTGCATCAACAAAACCTTTTGGTATAGCATTTGGTGCTAATATTGAATAACGTTGTTTAAATTCCGAATAAATCATACGATTTGGAAAACCTTTACGACAAATACGAATACCTTCAAGTACACCATTACATGTCAATTGATGCATAACTAAATGTGAATCAAGTACACCTCCAGTCTTAATTTCATTCGGAATAATACAACGAACAAAATGTGGATGTGTTTGTTTTAAATTATTCATTAATTTATTTAATTGTTCCTAAATAACAAAAATAATTTCATTATAAAAATAAAAAATATATTGCATAGAAAAACTTACACGATGTGTAGCTGAAATAGTTTGCATACTACCACCACCTTTCTTTTTACCACCACCTTTACCAGCACCTTCTTCTTCAATAACATCAGCAAAGAGAATACTTAGAAGAGCATTTTTCGATTTAGCAAAGAGAGTAGCACTAAGAATATGAAAAATGTTTTTTTTTTTTTTTTTTTCTTTTCATAATTATATAAATAATAAAAGATAAACATACACAGTATTGTTAATAGGATCTTTATTCTTTTCAAGCCATGATGTTGCAGTATATGATACAGTACCAGCATAATGATGAATATCAAAATGAGCTTCTGCTTTTCCTTTACTAGGCTTGGGTTTACCAAACATTGCATGTTTTCCCAAATGATTATTGTAAAGTTTTTCAACAAATGTCTTATCAGTAGCTTTTGGTACGATACATTCTTCTTCAAGAATGGAAAGAATACCCATAGGCTATAATTAACATTTTATTCATATTTATAAAAGAAAAAAAACTACCAAAATATTAATATTTACCTTTTCGATAAGATCAATACAAGCTTGTAAATCCATACCAAAATCAATAAATACCCAATTTATGCCTTCTTTTTTATATTCTTCTTGTTCTAATACAAACATATGATGATTGAAGAATTGTTGAAGACGTTCATTTGTATAATTAATACATAATTGTTCAAAGCCATTGAACTTTAAAAAGATATTAAAATTGTAATTATTATTAGATTTTTTTAAATATTTATTTTACTTCGAAAATTTCAAAACCAGCAATATCGAGTACACCAATAAAATATTGTCGTTTAGCTTTGACATCGAGTGTTACGTTAACACGGTCGACTAACCAAGTAAATATACGGAAATAGATCTAAGAAACAATAAAACAAAACACATTTTCAATTATTTCATTTATTTTATTAGACTACTATACCGATTTCGAAAGAGCACCAATCGAGTTAATGACTTGATCTTTATTTTGACCTTTGTTAACATATTCATTACCGACCTAGATATTTATTTATAAATAATTAATTATTGATCATTATAAAAATCAATCGAACCTTAATACGAGGCTTAAGTAAACCTTTAATAAGGTCAGCTGCTTCAACACCAAGTAAATGAGCAACTTTTTCGACCTCTTCTGTACCTTCAGTTTCAGCTTGTTCTTCTCGAGGTCGTTGTTTCCATTGAGAATTACCAAAATGCATTATAGATGAAGTACATTTGAATAAATTGATCTTTTCATCCTATAAAATATCAAATAAAAGTATAAAATAGTATAATCAGTACATAAATATGAACCCTTGTAAAGCCGAGAATATCAAAAGCTTCATCAGTAAGTCGCATTTCTTCAGCATCGTCTATACCATCGATGGTAAGCATACCTTGAGCTACGTAAAAGTATTTCGATGGATCATTTCCAATTAAACACATTTCTAAAAAAGATATTTTAATAATGATACATTTCATAATTAATTTATATATTTACCATGATATTCTGGAAATGCATTTGAGCAAATTTGATAGAAAATATGATAGTTACGCTCAGCTAAATAAATAATTCAATGATCAGTTTCTTTATTTTTTTAGAAAAAAGATGAAGAATAAAGTTTTACCTGGTTGCTAAAAATAAAAGAAAACAAAAATAAGTATTATTCATGATTATATTCTAATGAATGAAATCTTTCGAACAATTTTCTTCTATTTGTAACTCTGTCAGAAAGCCGTTTATTAAATCAGTAGTTGCATTTCTGCATACAAATTAAAAGAATGCACACAGGAGCAATTGAGCTTCGTTCGGAAAACTCTTCAACTAAACTACGATTTGTTTGTCAAACGAACGATTAACATTTCTAGTTTTATTCACAGAAAATTCCATTGTTAATTAAATTTAAAAAAAAAATACTTATGTCAACAGATTATAACTATTGTACTTTTTCACATATGTATAAAGTATTCTTAATGTGTATTGACTATACTATGTGATATCAAAAAAAAGTTCTTCTCAATAAATAATCTTCTAACAAAGTTACATATAAACAATAAGATCATCCGAAAAATTTTCTTTCATCACTATGAAATATCTTACTTGAAAAATGACACGAGATTTTTCTAATAGATATACTTCAATATCAGCACCAGCAATTTTACCATTGGGACCGAAGTGAATACGAATGAATTTACCCTGAATATAAATATTGATTTATGAATTTTATCAATCAATTATAACTTACAAATCGAGATGAGTTATTATTACGAGTAGTTTTTGCATTACCATAAGCTTCCAAAACAGGATCTAATTAAAATAATGATATAAATTTATATGATAATAAATAGAATAAAAATTTTAACTTACTAGCTGACACAATTTGATCTTCAAGTGTCATAGTTTTCTATTATTTTTATTTAAGTTTAATAAAGAAAATCATAAGATTATTATTTTTTTGCTTATGAATAAATTACCTTTCCATCATCTTCTTTTTTAGTTCCGGCCGCAGCGACCAATGCAAAATATTGAATGACTTTTTTCGTATTTTCTGTTTTACCAGCACCTGATTCACCTGTGATCAACATCGATTGATTTTCACGATCTAAATTTTGAAAAAAATGATTTAGAATGAATTCTTTTTCCTATTAAAATATTAAACAAAGAGAAAACTGTCGTTTCATCGCTAAACATACATATTAGTACGAAATCAATAGTAATTGATGGGGAATCAAGACAGATGAGACATTTATCTCAAAAACTAATTCATCAATAGAGACAAAGTTCAATGATAATCATTTTATTGGAACAATGTGATCTCGATAACTTAGAACACTGGCATCAGTCATTTTTCATTTTGCTCATCCTATTAAAGTTAAATCAATCTCTTTTAATTAGTCATGCTTACTTCTGAATCACTACATAAATAAGGTAAGGCTCCTGTTTCACTATTGTAGCGCCTTTGTGAAACATAACTATTAATGAGTGCTGAAGTATATAGTGAGAAATGGGTTAAGCATGTTTTGATGAATATTGACTTCACTGAAATATTCTAAAGTATGTTCTCTGGTGAAGATAATCATTGACTTCAGTCAAAATAGTTTGATTTGAAAAAACAAAACACATAGTGATTAGAAAAAATCTATATCGATAAGTAAGAGGCCTTCCACTGGATAGGATAGGCCATTCACGATTCCAAGTTACAACTTGAAGTTATACACACACTCTGTTTCTACTATCTATGCTAGTCAGTATAATTTTTTGTGTCATCTATTTTTGTAAAAGTATGACTATTGATATGTGATTACATTAATAACCAATTAGATGATTTAAAGTATCTTTTTTTTCTAGTGATAATTTCAGAGCGAACATATTTTGTTGATAAAAAAATATTGCTATTCTTAGAACAAAAGATTATGATAAGCATCTCTTTCTGTTTTTTTGATGATAAAAAATAAACAAAATAATTTGTTATTATAATTAGTATCTTGAATCAATTATCTTTGCTTGATTTACATCTTTTGTAAGAACATCTGTGTCTATATTATCGATAATCTCTTAGTCTTATTGTATTTTGATTAAAAACAATATATAGCAGAATATTGAAAGCAATCCATTGGTAAATGTCTCAATATGTTTTTATCATTTCGACATCTAGTTTGATCATTAGCATTTTGTTTTTCGCTGTTCTTTTAACAGAGATCTCTTTAGAGAGTAGAGCAAGCATGTCCTGCCTTTTTCTGCTAGAAGAAGAACTTTGTATCTGGAAAATTGCTAACATTATATTCCTCTTTAAAACAGATGTTTTGATTTGCTTCAAAGATATTAAAGGCTAGAAAAGTAATACAAATGTTATTATCAGATAATGTCTAAAACTATCGTATATCTTATCAGCAGCGTATATATTCAAATGAAAAAATATTGCAAAATAGAGCTGTTTAGATTAAATGGCTTACCTCGAAGCATATTAGCATAAGCATTGTCAGAAATAGCATATAAATGTGGTGCGACTTCAGTACGTTTCTTGCCACGATATGCAAGTACTACCTTCATAGTATAGATTGGTAAACGTTTATATGGATTAATGACAACACAAAATAATCCTGAATAAGTCTAGAAAATAAAAACATTCTTATTATTTAATATCAATCTCAATATTCATACATAGATAAGCCATCGTGAATAACGATCACGTAAAGTAGCCAAAACTGAAGCATCATTCAAATAGGTTAAATCAGCCATATCATCAATACACCAGTATTTTGGCGGATTCATTTCTTGAACATCATCTTTCTTCACTGTTCTTGTCTGAGTAAAGAAAAGAAAAGATTATTGATAAAGAATTTCAAATTAAAAGAAAAACATTCTACATACTTCTCCCTTGCATGTCTTAACTGTAACTTGATTATCTTGCGTACTTTCAATGTCGGCAGCAATAAACGATTCCTTTGGATCAGGTACCCAACATGCTTTTTTAGCATCAAATGGTTGAGATCGAAGTTTGATTTTTTCTTCGCTTGGTAAAGCCAAATATTTCATTGCATCTAATAATTCTGGATCATTTGGATCACTAATAGCTCTATAATCAATATTGAAATAAAATTATTAACAAATTTATTTCAAACAATTCAACATACCCTTCGGCAACCATGATTATTGTTTATTTCAATAAATTTTCTGATATACAAAAAAGGAAAATAAATAGATACTATTGAAAAAATATTTAGTTTTCAGCGATCAATACCTGATAATAGACGAGCTGAGAATGCGTATGTTGTACACAAATGATGGCTTTGTTAGTTAGCAAGCATTTATATAGTCTCTACAATGAGAGATCGGAGAGAGAGAGAGAGAAAAAAAATAAATGCCATAGGCAAAATACGGTTATTCCATTATTGTCTGATTACTTTATAAGGCAATATTTCATGCTATGCTCTTTTATCGTAGAATTATTCTGGAGTATTATGTGATGCTTGAGCAACCTCTGTAATAATATATCACATATGTATGTTGCAGTAGACATGAGAATTCAATGGAGTTTGGAATATGCGCAACAATAGAAAACATCTCTTAGAATAAAGGTTATAATAACCTCTATAAGCTTTACAGACCAGATGAAATGATTGATTTAGACAAAATACTTTGTAATTAAAAAAAAGCTTAAATTTCTTTCAGAACTTTTTACTATCGTATCTGAAAGTTTAATCGAAAATCCATCAAGAATAATTATACATCATATACCATCCATTATAATATTCAGACAAGAAATTTAGCTTTCAATTTCATTAGAACTCACAACAATTTATAATTATAGTTTAATATCATTCTAATAAAACAAACAACATACCCACTGTAATAATATTGTATCTTATATTATAATTTAACGATATTTTTTACGTACATATATAAATATATCTGTTTTTAAAAAACTTGCAATATGCATTACTAATTTCTTTAGTTGAAATGAATAAAACATTGATGGAAACATCTAAGTATTGACAAGATGGCAAAGAAAAATTGCCCATAGGCAAAGTAATCTTAACTCTATTTTTTATTATTTCAGTCATATTCGTAAATCGAGTGTTACATAAGTATAAACTGTACAGAACATTTTTGTTTTAGCATAGTTTTTATATTCGAAATTTTCTCTCTAATTCAAGGAGTATGTCTATCGTAACGATGCAACACAGTTTCTTTTTTCTTGAAAAGTATAATAAATATGCTTCAGAATTCATTTTCTTACCAAAATTCTCCCTAAACATTGATGATGTAGAATAATTTCTTTTTCATACGAAGAGAAAATTAAGAAAAAAAATTGTTTTTGTTTGAATAATCATAAATGTAAATGCTGTGACGAAGAGAAAAGATAAAATAAGGTAATGGCTACATTTTTATGATGCCATTCATTTGACGAGTAAAAAGACGACGTATTTCGCGTTTAATTTGTCATCTTATCTTCCAAGAGGAAAAATGCATTTGACAGTGTTCGTTCTCTTGAAATCAACTAGCGCTTACTTCGTATCAGAAGTTTCAGCTGAACGAAGTCCTCAAACTTGTTTTTCTTCAAACAATTCTTTTTCTTCCTGATTGACAGGATCGCTTCGATGTCAACCCATTCCCAAATAGCAACTACACAGTCGACTGTTCTCGAGACGCCGGACATATTGATGTGTCTTTTATAGTGGAGATGGGATTGTTGTTATTGAAGTGAATACATGTCTATCCACTATTGTGATTTGAACGAGTATGTTCTGTCGATATATTATTAATTCAGACATGATACTCATTTCACTTCATTGGATCGGTATGGTGAAATCACCATCAAATTATACTCAAAGGGCGGCAGACTATTTGAACATCATATACACAGCAGGTTTCTGCCCGTGATTGCGTGATGCAGTGCCTATCATAACCAGAGTTTTCAAATACAAAAGGATCATTTTTTTCTAGGTAAACAGACCCATTAAATCCTACAAAATAATGCTAAAATATCAATAAAAATCTGGTGTCCTCAAAATTTAAAAAAATCATATTGTGATAAACCTATGAAAAAAGGGTGTGGATGTAAGCTTTTGCTCCACATAACTCATACTTGAAGCTACACTCACACCCATGTTTTTCAGGCTACTAATTTTTCACTGCTAAAAGTATTTGAAGTTCATCTTAGCCAAAATAAAAACGTTCCAAAAAATTGGTTTTTCAAGAAAACTTAGAAATAAAAGTTCAACAAATGCTGAAAATTTTGAGGA